ATTGATTTTGGATGCGTCAATTTTTTGCCCATTTGGAAAGAATTGTTTTGCAGAGCACTAGCAAATATGGAACCTTATAAAATGTCTCTAACAGAACATGACAATGCAAAATTATTCATCATGCTTGAAAAGTTGGGCTGTAGCACGTTCCCAATCAAGATTATGCTTGAAACTGAGATATAAATATATGAACTGCAGAGTTCAAAGTGCTGCCAAAATGACCAGCCCTGTCTGCTATATTTCTTGGAAGAGCATACAATCATCCTGGTCCATAAACAGCTACTGTTTCTAAAAACAAGTCAATTTTTGTCTTGCTCTCTGGCTTTCATTTTAAAAGCATAACTCCACATGCAAGCCAAAGAACCAAATACTATTAAAATATTTATTTTTACAGAAGGTGCTGTCTGCTTGTCTCCTAAGCAGAAGTGTGATGAGACAGTGAATTCACTGACATTTCAGAAATCAGGCCTTTTGCAGTAACAGGGACACACCAGTTAAGGAGGATTTTATGCCTGTTCCAATTTTATTGTGATCTGAAATGTTCTAAATTGGCTGTGTCTGCCAAACCCTAAGAAAAGTTTAATTGTGAATGTCCAGACAAAAACAAGAATACAACCTACTTGAGTCCATGCCTGTCAGAACTACCCTTATTATACATATATGATGACTTATGAACCCTTGTAAAATCCTGCAGAATACTGCAGCAGGAGGTTCTCTATCTTACAGGAAGAAAGGTTCTCTTCCAGTATAAATAAATATATAACATATTTTTTTAAAGCCAACTACAAGGAGATGTTACCAGCTAGTCAAACATCTATTATACCTAGAGGAAATGGGAAAGAAATTGATTTGGCTTTCCTCCTTCAGCTTTGGCCCATCAGAAGTTTCCTGACTCCAACACTATGAGTTATAGATGATCATCCAGTGGAGCCCCCAAACTCATGAGCTGGGTTGAACAGAGCTTGTCAGAGCTGAGTTAATATACACTCCCTTGCTTCAGGGTTTGCAGCTTGCCTCAACACTGCGCTCACTGACTTCAGATCTCCGAGCACAAGTGGAACACTTCCATGTCTGCTTGCAGCAGGAATATGCAAAGCATAAGATTTCATTCACATCTGTGTGAATAACAGTATTTAGACTATATTCTCATTCTCAGATTCTGTACTCTAGGTTCAAAAGGAAAGAAATTAGTTATTCTGAACCTCTTAGACAGTCAGTTTTTCAAAGCACTTCCCTTTAGAACAGTTTTAATGAGGTTTTAATTGCACTTTTCTTCCTTAGGCAGCACATACCTTTTCACAAACTGTTTGTGTAGCATTAAATATACCCTCCCAGCAAGCAAACATTTGGTACCTAACATTTTGCATTAAAGTATTTAGTGTTTGACTTGAAGTTCTTCCATCATTACCTTATTGCTATGGTAGTCCTTCACTGGAATTCAGCCCACCATGTAGCAAAAAATCTTTCCAATTATGTCTCCACCCCACATCCAACTGCCTTGTTCTACAGGTTGTGGAAACAGTGTTCATGGCAAGGCATTACAGTTTTCCCAGGATACAAAGTCACCCTACACAGCTGACTGGAAGCTCCAAAACAGTACTAAGATGTGCATTGGCTGTGTGCCGGTGTTTTAAAAGGATTTTTCTCTGGTAGGACAAGAGGATTAGGCAATGTGAAGGGGAGAAAATCAGCTAAAATCCCATGTGGGGAGTGAATTGAAGCTGAAGATTATATTCTCTAGAATCAAAACACCAAAGGTATAAACCAGACCACGGAAAAGGCTTGCACTTACTTGTTTTTACCTCGGAAAACCTGTTGCGATGATCACCAAACCTTAGAGCCCCATTTTTACATCTAAAAGCTCTACTTTCTACATCTTGAAGCGTGTCTAGATTATCCTCTGGAGCTTGCATATTCCATCCTTTACAATGTTGATAATCAAGTAAATTCAGGCCTAGTTGTTTCCAGCTCAAGTGTTAGATGAGGGATAATCTATACAACAATCTAATAATCTTATCTGGAGCCCTGGCAGAAAGCATTTTGAGATTCAGGTACCCAATCCATTGTCAGCATTGCTGACTGCTCAATTACAAACCATCACTGAGAGATCAGAAGGAAGAAGAAGCTGGAGAAAGAATCATACATGACTTTCAGGAACCACAAGAAAAGCTGTGTGGACAGCTCAGGCTTTAGCAAAGTCAACCAGAGGTCTACAAACTTTTCTAATGAGCATTTGAATAACATGTTTTAAAAAGAAATATATGTATTTGAAACTCAGCTACCATTCACGAATTTGATTCAAAATTTGTTTTGAGAAAAACTTTTTCTCACACACATTTGTGGCACCATTTTACTCAGACTGGATTATTTCTGGAAGTCAAATCTAGCTAGTTTTTATTCAAACACTTGATAATTTTTTCCTTTCAAAAACATCTATATTTGGAGACCTTGTACTGCATGTCACTGAAAGCATGTTTGCTGGTAAGCAACCGCATGTAACATTTTACATATTCATTTTACAAGATTATTTTCCTAGTTATTCTATTAGCAAATATTTTAGAGATCCATTTATCTCGTGGAAAACGGGGTTTTTTTCCTTAATGAGTTACATTTTACAAGCTTCCTAATACTTCACACGTGTTTGACTGGCCAGCAGATTGCAATAAGATACCTAGACTTGCCCTTGGGAGTCATTTATTCAAGGACAACTCAGTTCAGGCTGCTCACTTACAGATGTTAATGTAAGATGAGCTGTGTTACATTAATGGGTAAACAGCTACCTAATTAGCAGTCAGAAAACCTCAGTAGGTAAGTCAAAAGTACAGAATAAAATTCCAGCCATAAAATCTAGAGGAACAAGATGAATTTGCAGGAACATGGTGCTGAATGCCCAGCACTGTGGTTAAACAAGCTTGCACTCTACAATCCAACACCAGTGCATATCACTGTGCCCACACTTTTTGCCTTCAGCATCTCCACATTCTCTCTGACAGTATAAAATTTTCATACTATTTTTCCACCGACTTGTTTCATTTTTTCTCTGCTTCTTATACAGGTCTAACTCTTCTGCCAATTAAGGCAATGAGATTTTTACAGTTGACCTACATCGAAGAAATACTGGCTTTCGACCTATTGAGTTACAATTTCCACACAAGTAACACTAGAGAGGTGTTTTTTTCACTTTACACATGATAAAGAGCTTTTAAGGAATATGAGTGAATGGATAAAGTAACTAAACATAAGGCAGAGATCAAAAACCTCAAAAAGATTAATTAACATTTAATTAACAATTAAAGCTTCTGTTGTGAGCAATGTAGTTTCATAAACAATAATGACTCTTATCCAGAAAATGAATGGTGTCTGAACACATACTAAAAGGATTTTATATATGTTACACTGATGAAAGATGATGACTTAAAAACAACTTTAAGTGGTTTCATTTAAAACACTATTAAAATCAAAGTCCTTTGTCCAGCAGGATTTTCTAAAACCTTTACTCCAGTTCATTAGACAAGCAAAAACCCCAAAGACCCCTCTTGCATTAAACTGTATTTTGCTTGGTGCTGGTGAGTCTGCTACAAGATAAAAGGCTTGTGAGGATATGGATTTGAAGTATTACAAATTACTTTTTAACTTCATATCAGTGCCATTTTATTGATAATGAGGGATTTGCTGACTATTTACTACTGACATTTTGAGAAGTTGTTCTGTAATCCAAAATGATCTCCTATTTTACAGCATTCATTTTTAAGCTAGGATCCAGAGGGAAAAAAGTAGGCATTTGGCACAATATGACATTTTGATGTATTCTGAAGAGTTTTTAAAGGACTTACCATCCAAAATATCAGGAAAGATTAAAAAATACATAAGGACATTTTCATTAGAGATTAGCTCTTCTCAAAAAGTTCAGATGCTTTTATATGAAGCACAGGAGTTCAAAGCCTCATCTGAAAGTGTTTCATGGAATTGAGGTCTTTGGGATGCATCAAGGTGGTCTTTTGAGACTTCCCATTCTTCGTATAGCTTCTTGTAACAGACATTTAACGAGTTGTAAAAGGAAGATAAAGGCAAACTTGCATGGAGTTTCAGGACTTTTCGATCAAGGAGGCACTCACAGAGCATCCTTTTAGCACTCAGATCAAAACTAGTAAGAACCAGGAACTTTATGAGGCCCTAAAGGGAGACTGGAAGTGGAGACACTGAACTATTCTTAAACTTCAAGAGAGTTCTGTTACGGTTACCTATAAAACTGGAATGAATTCAGCTTGCCTGAAATTGTTTTGTTTTTTCTTTAACTAAATTGTTTATCCAAGATTTTCTTCTATTTCTACAATAACTTTTCTACAAAGGTCTGGCACCTTTGCCAAAGGAATGCGTTAAGCACAGTTTAATGGTGCACAACAAAAAGTGAAAACTTACTGGCAAGCACTAAATTGCAACAAACAAAAAAAATAGGAGAAAAGAGAAAGGCAGGAGGTGGGAATCAAGAAGGGGAAGATGTCTGTGTTTGAAAGAATCAAAGTCGCAGAAGATCCTGGACCTGTAAAACTGAGCAACAAGAAAAATGAAGTAAATGAAGTAAAAATCATACTCAGCACTGGTGAGGCCGCACCTCGAGTGCTGCGTCCAGTTCTGGCCCCTCAGTTTAGGAAAGATGTTGAGATGCTTGAGCACATCCAGAGGAGGCAACGAGGCTGGTGAGGGGCTGGGAACACAAGGGAAACATGGGTTGGATATTAGGAAAAAGTTTTTACAGAGAGGGTGATAAAGTACTGGAATGGTCTGTCCAGGGAAGTGGTGGTGTCACCATCCCTGGGTGTCTTTAAAAAAACACTGGATGTGGCATTTGGTGCCATGGTCTAGTTTTTGGTGTTAGGGCAGAGGTTGGATTCAGTGATCTTGGAGGTCTCTTCCAACCTAGTGATTCTGTTGAATTCAGTTGAAATGTAATAAAGAAATAGTGAGACAGTTCACAAGCTAAGTTGTGCTACAATTATTAGCTGTTTACTGTCCTAGAAAACATGATCCATTCCTCTTATAGCCTTATGATTAATATTGACAAGAACTCATAATCTGTCTAAATACATTGACAGGAGCTGCCATAATTTTCTATGCCTCAACATGGACTCAAAATTTATTTTCACATCTATACTGAATCACAGTTTTTCCAATATGTGAAACATATATTGTACATATAAAGACTCATAGAATAACTGAGACTTCTCAGTTTGTCCATTTCTATTGTAGTGCCAAAATGTGAATTTTGGAGCCTAGCTCTGGACAGGCAACTAAGCCCTTTGGTTTTGGGTTGTATTTTCTTAAACATAGTATTGTGTAGTAATGTGCCACTTTATAAAGACAAAGAATACAGGAAAACAAATAACCAAGTTGTTGATTCCCACCACAGATTCCCTGCCTGAAAGGAAAGCTCTCCATAAAGAAAGTTAATAACCCTGGTCTGCCTGCCTTCCTGAGACAGGACATCACTCAGATGCTGGTACAAATTCATTGGCTATACATATATCTCTTGCAATATTTATTCATTTTCCTGCTGTCAGTAGTGACAAATTGTTTCCTTGCATTCTTGGGTTAGAAATGGGCTGCTTTATTTTTTTTTTCTTATATACCTCCCAACACCTTAGTCACTTCCATAGCAGTTACAGAACTCAGAGCAACAGCATTTTATTAAACATGTAGCAACAAAAATCACTGTAAAATATCAAGGCTAAAGAAGAATCTTCATGAAGCCTTTCACAAATCCGCTCATATCCCATCACATAGGTTTTTTTTTTAAATAAAACAAAATCAAAACCAATGATAACAAGCTCAACAAAACAACAAAACCAACAACTCCCCCATTGTTCTATGACTATACATAAAGAATTTTAATAGTGCAAAAATAAAACATGGGCAAGAATATTTTTCAGCCTTTTCAATAGAACTTTTTCTGATATTCACACATAACAAAGTCCAGCATCAAAACTGTAGTTTAAAACTAAAAGTTAAAGAACAAAACAAAGAAAGTGTACAGCAAAAGCTCTACTGAACAATGAGCTCCAGAAATGACAGCCTGAAAGACATTCATAAAAATAAAAGGGCAGATCCGTTAGTTGGACCAATAAATTAGTCAGCTATGGTCCTCCAGAGCATTCAGTGACAAGGAAAAAGCGAAATTCTGGATGCTGAAAGATCAAAGAAAATTAAGTAAATTCCACACAAATCCAGGAGACTATCTTAAAATTTTAGTACAAACATGACTCCCAAGGGCCCATTAAAGCCCCAAATTATTCTAAGATTCTACAATTCCACCATGCTGAGTCAAAAGCATCTTCCTTTCATGTCATAAAGCAGTTCTTTGCCTGAGTTTTGTGCACTGTAGAATGAGGGCAGGTGAGTCTTCACCTTTTATTTGCTGCATGTCATCAACTACAACTACAGTGCTGTAAATCCACATTTTATTTTCTCTGTTGGACTCATTGGTTTTTTAAAAACTAAACTACCATGAAAAATACTCACAAAATATTAAATAAGCATGAACATTTCAACTGAACTACTTGAGAAAGTATTAACTTTTAGATGTTCTCTAGCTTGTTCTGTAGGAAAAGGATCCATAGAGATTACTTAAGACAAAGAAATCAAAACAGAATAATTTCATTGTGAAAACCAGGAAACATTGCATTCTTGATAGCCACTCTCCTTTTTATGCAAAAGCTTTATTGCATTACATTTCTGAGCATTATTTCAGTATGTTTTAAATAGTTTTTCAGAGTTTATAGACTGTATCAAAGCATATCAAATCAACCAGAACATAGATGTTTGCCATTCTACTCTCTAGCACAATCCTATTTTGAACATTTCATATTTTGCCATTTCTAAGTCTTCAGACAGTTTTCCCTCTCCTGTATCTGAAATTGTGTTTAGTGCTGTCTGGAGCAAGGTGGTAGTGATAATATTAAATTTTACAGTTTCACAGACTGATACACTTTACTTCACCAAATAGAAACAGTTCCATTAAGGGAAACACAAACCGCACTAATAATGTGTGCCCCAGCTGTGACTGTGAAGGTGAGAAGGCAGATTTATTTTCTTTTGCATTCAAGGCTTGACGCAAGTCCCATTTGAAAAATTCGAAAATATTCAAACTTTTGTGAACATCCTTGATACTTAACTAATATGTGATTTGTGTTCAGTGGTTCATGGAGATACAAACATGTTGGAATTTTTTTCCTTTAGATTTGTTCTACATCACTCAAACTTTGGGCTTGGTTAACAAATTGGGGCAAGAGAATGCTGACCTCCTTAGCAATCACTGTGGGTGATTTTCCCATTTCATCGATCAGCTGGTACCTTTCCTGTATTCCATCACTGTTACACCTGCAGCTTCCTTCCTTGGAGACTTCCCATCTCTGCTGTCCAGCCACAAGGAGCACTAAGTTCTCTTCAGGAGGTGAAGAGTCCTTAAACCAGGACAAAAACCAGGACAGTTTGGCACCTCCTGCCAGTTTCATCTTGTCGATCTGTAAATTATCTGTTCCGTACAGCCTGAGAGGAATCAACCCATGGGGCCCGACTTTATCAGGCCTGTATTTCGGGAGCTGGTTTGGGCAGGGCTGGGGAAACAGGAGGCTTTGGGTAGAGGAAAATCGCTGGAGCAAAGCTGCGAGATTGGGCCCTCAGTCCCCGAGCCCTCCCCGCCGCCGGCACCGCGGCAGAACCACAGCATGAGACCCGGGCCCTCACAGGCCACGGCACGGGCCGGCCTGGCAGAAGGTTCCAGGAGCTTCCAGAGGCTGAGGGAGGCTCCGCAGCCCCCACGGCGCCAGGGCGGGCCCTGCTCCTCCCTCCATGTGCCCACAGCGCCCGGGAAGCGGCCGGAGCGGGGGGGAGGGGAGCCCACCCGAACCGGAGACATTAAGCAAAGCCGCACAGCGAATCCTGATCGGTTCACGTTGGGTTCAAATCAATGAAGTTTACCCCAGGAAAAGCGAGGTGTGCTGTCTGGCCGATACTTGTCTCGAATATTCTCTGAGGGGGGCCACGGGCGGCCTCAGTGCTGCCCGTCCCTGCTCGCAGACCCGGCGGCTTTGCCCTCAGAGTGATGGGTGGGACTATTCTGACAACAGTGCATCGAGGGGGGAGCTCAATTCGTGACCTTGTACTTCCCTGTGCCTGGTTAATTACTGTATTACCCTGGAGATTTTTAAACCATTTCAGATTCTCCCTGAATCACCAGATCCAGGAGTTAATGCATTCCCTACTACACCGCTGCAGCATTTGTAAGGGTCTGGCTATCAGCTTCAAACCCCACGTTTTCCCATTGTCTCTAACAGCACAGTAAAACCAAGTTCATTAATGCCTTCAATCTTTATTACAGCTGATTGCATAGATTCCACCATTCTGCAGAAACAAAGTTATCATAGAAAAAAATCTGAAAAACTATTATCTGTTGAGCCTTTGAGAACTTCACTTGATATTGAAGCAGGTAAAGTAACGTAATTCAGTCTCAAGTAGGCTTTCTATTCCATTAAAATTTCATTGATTTGCTGCTGATAGAAAATGAACCACAAGAGACATTGATGAAAAAGCTTTATAAAGGGATATGGCAAGTGATCATCAATTACTGAAGTGTAACTTGAATTGAACTTTAGCACTGTGGGCAGGTGCAGACCCAGGATTACACAGTATTAGCCAGCAGGCAGTTTTCTCCTTTGTTGTTTTGAATTTGCTTCATTATTAATAGGTCTGGGGTATGAAGAGAGATTAAAAAAAAGATCCCCGATGCCTGTTAATTTATCACCTTTATCTGTGGCCCAAAGTAAAAGCATCCGAGCCTTTTCAAAGTACCTGGACTCTCTCCTTGACAGACTAAGTATTTTTAGCCCACTGGATGTGAGCTGTTCTGAGAACAGATGGGTTAGCACTCCAAGCACTTCATGACTGTATGTGCACTGCTGTAGAACAGAATGAATAAAAAATGACCCGGCTGTGAAATCCTTATTCCCCACTTCGGTCTCATTGACTTCAACAAATTGTGTACATGTCTCCTCCTCAACCGGAAAACAACGTCTGCCAGTTTCACAATGCCTCCTTGTTTCCCCATTACAAACAGATTCTTATCTAGGGTGGGGAAGGGGAAGTGGGTGTTTTTTTTCTTTTCATAGTAATATTTCAAGGTTTCACAGGTTTTCTCACTCTCTCCCAATCCTGCCTCCTCAGATAAACACTGACCTGGAACTCTGAGGTGCCTGTTTCTAGTCCAGCCTGAGGAGAACAACTGGAATCCAAGCTACTCGTTTTCGCTACAGCGCAACAGCTGTTCTGTGGGATGTTTCACCTTTGCAAGGAGCTGGTACATTGCAAAAGTTTCATTTCGTATTTGAATGTGTAGTCTGCATGTTGTATTTCTTAATCACATCCAGGAGATTTCTACTGTGATTGATCACAATGTCAACTTGTAAAATTAGATCCCTTTTTTCTACCAAAGTCCATGAATAGGCTTGGTCTTTTACATAACCATTGATAGAATTAGCCTTTTTCAGAGAAGCTGGAACAGTAGGTCTAATTTCCTTTATGTTATTTATTATTCCATTTAAATTAATTACTTTTTGATCTTTAGACTTTTTAGTAGTGTATAAATGTAAATCATACTCTGAGTATCCAAGCATGTAACACAATATATTCAAAATTGTGGACAAGATGCATCCATTCTTTTTTTTCTGAACTCACTTTCCTAGCTTGATTTTTTTTTTTTCTGGAGAAAATTATCTGGGGTCTTATTTAAGCCTTCAAAAATGTATTTCAGTCATCAAATCAGATATTTAATGGGCTTGACATTTTGAGTAACTGCTCCCTGGGTATTTTCATTCTCCCTTAAAAGGAAGCTAGCATTAAGAGAGAGAATGGATACCTAATGAAATGTCAAAAACATTGAATATCTGCATTGAATTTGGAGCATAATGTAGCACATTTTCTTGTAGAGATTAATAAAAATATATATTTTTTCTGTGTTGAGTACATCTTTCATATTTTCTGCAATTAAAAATACCTTTAAATAATTTTTTCTTTTTTTTTATTTTTTACTCCAAGGAATTGAAACCATTTTGTGAAGCTTGGCATTTTGAAAACAGAACATTTCCCCATTAAATAGTGTCAATGGAAGATTTTAGAGTAGCTCTGGGGAAAGTGAAAAGTGATTTTAACAGTCAGCCCTAATAAAAGATTTTCATATTTATCAACTAAGGATTGCTACATGAACTCCAGCAAATGTTGTGGGAGCTCAGCATTGGAATTCAGTGAGCATTTTTTGTCCCACAGAACAGTTTGCTTGCATACACCTGTCTCTGCTGTTTTCTAGTTTAAAAAATCAGACAGATTCCCATATAGCATATAGACCACTGAAATTCAAAATAAATTAAGTAGCATGATGTGAGTACAGCACATTATAGGTAACAAAATATTGTCTAGAAGGCAAACCAGAACTTTTGCATTGCTGTTAGAATTTTTTTTTTTTTTTTCCCTGGGATTCCTTGAGAGAAAATGTCTACAGTAAAAATGATAATGCCCTTCTCCACACTTCATTACATTGGGTTTGAATGACTTCCTAAAAGCATATTTCACATTAGCATCAGGCTATCACAAGGAAAAAGACTTTGAGAATCAAGAACAGGTTGGCTGTCTTACTAATTGCAGTGCAGAGTTCACTGTACAGCTCTCAGAAATGACTTGCTGTAGTCCATTATTAGATTAAATTCCTGGATGGGAAGATATTTTCTTGTTTACAATGCTGACATTTCCTACAGGAGAGCAGAATAACCAGGGGTACCTTTATTCTGCACTGGGTTTTAAGGTGCTGTAAAAATTTCACTGACAAACTCATCGTACTTTATGTGGTAAGCAGTGCGTAGTTTCTACATTTGTAAATCAGGATATGCATTCTACATTTTACAATTTTCTGCCCCAAATAACTTACAAGAATACTTAGTAACTTTTGTCTAAGACAACTATGTCTGATTTTCCTTTCAGGCAATCCATGCTCTACCAATTTGTGGAATAGAAGGTGCATTACAGTTGGCCACATCTTCACATGCATTGACCATTAATGACAAAATCAAGCAATTAAAAGAATTAACTCCTACCAAGCAAGAATTTGCAATCGCTCCCAGTCTACACAAAACCCATACACAAAATATGTCTTTACTGTGTTCTTGATCCACACTCCTTCTGTATCATTCCTGGGGCACAGTAATGTTACTTACTCAACAACTTTTGGGCTATTTCCTCACCGACTAGGAATTTCTTCCTATTGCTGTTGTGTGAGGGAAAAGTAGTGACCACACTACATTGAATGCTAAGCAGGAAAACCAGTGCATCACAGGAAGTACTTGATCCAAGCTTTGCTTGCTGTTACATGGAAATTTATATGGAATAAACCAGTGCTGCCTCCTTTCTTTTCTCTCCATGGCTTTTGGACCTTATGACTTTCTCCCACCCACAGTTCCCATTAAAACTGAGAATGGGGAAAAATGTCAGCTAAACTTTAAAGGAGTCATTAACATGCCAAGTGTTTTCTTTGTAGATACTTTGTGAGGACACATATAGGACCAAACTAAATGTCCAGCCTCTTTTGAAGTTATTTCTCTTCCACAAGAAAAGTCAGTTATTGATGTATAATAAAGATACCATAAAATGTTAACTTCATTTAAAACTACTGGAAGAAATTCCAAGAGAGAAGAAACCAAACCCATTGAAGGCTCCAGCCTAGTAGAAAATTTGCATTAGCTACGGGCCATCGTGTAAATATACAAGCTACAGGATTAATCACTAGCAGTAAACAAATATTTGAAGAGAAGCTTTCACACAGCACTTGCATGGCAAGAAATTAGCTATAAAAATCAATTATGCATCATTATCATCTGACAGTATGTATCCAGGAGATTCATCTCAGGCAACACAAAGCAAAGCATCTGGTCAAGTACGAACACCTCTTTCTGCAATTGATAGCCTGACCAGGGACACACTTCACAGAAGTCACTTACCCCAACCTCTTGGGAAGGGAAAAAAGAATCTTAAAACAAAGCCACAGTAAGACAGAAGAGAAAGCCATCCCTTGAAAATCATTAAAAAATAAGTTCTGTAAATTATGAAAACAAATTTATTCATAGAGAAAAGCTTCTCTCCCTGTAAACTGCCACGGTCTACCTGAGACCAGGTTTGTGTTGTGGTAAATGGTAAATTGTGGTTTAATTCCATTAATGCTCAATATTCAGGTTTCTGGTGTTTCAAGGGAAGACTGAGCAGAAGTGGATTCCTAGTTCATACAAAACTAAAGTATTTTACTGTAGTCAGTGTATTAATACTACCTCACCTCAGGCAAGAAATAGGTTTGTTTAATTTGAATCAAGGTAACTGAAATCTAGTGGAAATTCTCACTGTGAATCTGGTTTATGGAAAGAGTTTCTGCTCAGCCTGAAAATAAATCTCTGTTATAAAAACAATTTTTAGGTATCTCATTCTTGAGAGAGGTGGTATTTTACTTAGCTTACCATTTGTTCAGCACAATAGGGATTTCTTAAAAGAATAATCCAGGACATCTATTATAAAACCGATATGCAAAAACTCATGCTACATCATTATTCCATTAATTACAAGAGTTAATAGACTGGCATCTATGTTTTCTGAGTAGCCTTGGAAATCTCATCCATTACTGCTGTCAATTTCCTTGCTTGTTCTTTTTTAGAGAGGAGGGCAGTATAAAATTGGAGATGTCTGTGTACAAGAACAGATGGATCCATAGGTCTAGGAAGAAGAGCAAGAATAAATCCTCAAGAGATGCTTCTTTCAAAGATACCTGCAAACAAGCTTGGGACCTTGTGTGCCATATTTTATTGGTGTGAAACAGGTATGAGAAAAGTTCCATTTATTTTAAAGTTTAGAAGTTTACCTTACTGCTGTGGCATTTTTCTTTATGAAAATTACCTTTATTTCATCTTTATGACAATTACCATAGCAGGCCTCTCAGTGAATTCCTGGTAGTCTCATCAGCAAGAAATATTGACAGGGAGTTTTATAAGGAAATTCCATAACATGACCCTCTTACAACTCACCAACAGTTACCACTAGAAAAACAGGTCAGGAAGCAAGACTGGAAGGTCCCAGGGGGATGAGCTGAAGTTAGGCCTGACATCCAAGGAGATGGCAGCACCATGACGATTTTTTCACCCAGTGATGAGCAGCTGCAGCCAGCACTACATGGAGAGGCAGACAGAGGGAAGCATTCAAGGCTGAAGTGATGACCAGCCCAGCTCTTACAGATTCAAGAGTGTCAAATCTACCTCCAAAGTAGATTAAGCTCAAAGCTGAAATCTTCCAGACTTGCAGAGAGAAAAAGAGGTAGCAGTGCCTGGTCTTCCTCCCAGAGCAGCAAAAATCTGAAATGCTTTCCAAATAACAGGCTAAGCACATTCTGCCCATTCTTATTTTCTTAATTTTCCATATTTACTCGTTCACTGCTCTTCTATTCTTTCTACTAACTGGGCTACCTTTTCATGGTCCCATTATTGTCTTGTTGCCCCCTTAGGCAACAAGAAGCACCTGTTAACTTAGACCTAACATCTCCAAGCTTGTATTTCACTCAAGTATATTGGCAACAGCTGCACATCTCTACCAAGGAAAGTTTCTGTTCTTCTTAGTTTCTGCTAGCTATGTTCTCCTTTTCTTTCCTTCAAAATTTATCTTCAGCCGAGTACACCATATTTCAATGCTGCTGCTTCTGGTTATATATTGTTTAGATTTCTTTCTTGGTAACTCTGTGAACTGGCTGGCTTTTTTCATTATTTCTGTGGGGCTATGGGGAGAAAAACCAAGCAATTCCTTTACTTGAGAATTTTGCCATTTATTAAGATAGTAAAACTCTCAGCAGAAATTGCAATTTTCCAAGTAATATCATTTGCAGGGGAACTTACAAGAGCTTTATTTTAAAGCTAGATAAAACTTAGAGTGAGAAATGGGTGGAATTCAGACAAAAAATTAGAAAATTAGAATTAGGAAATGTGCTCTGAAGTGAAAATTATGTTAATTACATTGCAAAAGGCCACATAAACTAAAGAACTATTATTTCCAGGCCTTCTTAATGGCTAAACAAAACAGAAGCAGTTGCTGGGAACTGTGTCACTAAAAACAAATAGCTGTATTGCTATCAGCATCTGAATGTGAATTGCATGTGGAACAAGTTCTTCAATATTCTGTCTATAACCATTCACAGTATCGTGTTGAGTAATCTTCTAAAAACTTTGGAATTTGTATGTCTTCTAGCATGCCTGGCACCTTTTCCAGAGAAAAGGTAGCATTTCATGGTTTTGTTTTGGTGAGTTTTTGGGGTTTTTATTTCTGTTTTGGTTTTTGTTGTTTTGGTTTTGGGGTTCTTTTTTGTTCATTTTGGGTTTTTTGTGTTTTTTATTGTTGTTGTTTTGTTGTTGTTCTTGGTTTTTTTGTGGGATTTCTTCAGTGCATAAAGGCAAAAGACTGGTCTTATACAGTCACCTACCACTTTCTGACCTCAGAGATAAGTCTGTGGATACTTTCCTTTTTTCATAATTTCAGAGGTCCCCTTCCCTTCTCCTTTAAGTATAGGTCCAGTTGCTCCATGAAAGAATTGCAGCTGTGAATAACCTGAGGCTGAGGTGGTTCTTGAGATGCCTCTGAAGGAGGGAGAAAGTGCAAAGCTGGTTTCTCAGAGAAAGCAGATCTTTCTTGCTTTTTGCTTATTTGCTGTGTCCTGACTTGCTCTGTTCTGAGGTGCTAACAGTAACTATTTAAAACCTCCTGAGCCAGTGTGCCAAGTAGTACAGAAACTGCCTGGCTGTCTCTGTAGGAAGTTCAATAGAATTTTCTCTTCATGGGTCACAAACATTGATGGATTAAATCACACAAAACCCAATGTTAACAGAAGAAAAAGTCCCTGACCAAGAATGAAGCTGCAAAAATCTGTACTTTAATATGAGTTAGCCATTAAGTTAAATATAAAAATATTGCTATTACTACCACAAGTATTTACTGTTGTAGCACCTTAAATGTTTAGTGTGCTTTATTGGCTTGGACATGACAAGTTTGTTTTCCTGGTTGATTTTACCATCTAGATCAGACAGAGTATGGAAGGTAACAGTGAGTCAAGGGTCAAATGACTGTTTGAGGAGAAAGGGATTTACAGGAGGTTCCCAGGTTGCAGAAATATGCTCAGTGTACCTTTCCTGTGTGTACTATGATGAGATTTTATTATTTTTCTAGTCCAAGCACTAAGCAACTGCTCTACAGATCTAGGCTTCTGGTCTGTTTTCATGGGGTATAATATTTATAGCAAATGGATCAGGAACACGTTGTGTGCATCTTGTTTTTACCCATAAAATAGCATGATGATAATGTAATTAGATGTACCTTTTCTATGTATATATATACTATCTCCACCCTCTCTTATAACTCAGATAAGGAAAATACCCAGTCCTATAGCAAAGTAAAGCTAGCAATATCCACTGTGTCTCTTGCACATCTAAAAGTGGAAAGCATGACACAGCCAATGAGAGAATTGTAGCAAATCAGTTTCCTTTAGAATAAACTGACCACTTACTGTACAGGAGTAAAGTTCCTTCCAAGGCTGTTAGGCTTCATGAAAATGTAAATAAAATGTGTATGACCTTATCCTGTGGAGAACTTTGTAGGCCTGAATTCAAAAGCATAATGGCAAGTTTCAAGCTACACCTAATTACATACACACAAACTTCATAGGGATGTTTGAAGGCTGCTTCTCCTGTTACCAAAGTGCACCACTGGGTAGTGAAATTACCAACAGAAACTGTCAAACCTTCCTTTGGAACACAGAATCTGTTCACCAACATTGATACTACATACAGTACTCTATGAATAGCTCCTGCCCATGCTTCTTGCAGTATAAAACATGAGAAAATTAAGACAGGAACTTAGTATTCAGTGCAATTGGCTACAACCCTTTGAAATTTTCTTGGAAGTAGTCCTCTTTTGCAATTTGCTGGTAATTTCTTACCTTTCAAGTGCTAGCAATATGAATAATGATGATGATAATTCAGATGCAAATCAGAATTATTTTAGGCCTCCTAATGAGGATATTTTTTGGCCACAAGACCAGTGGCTTTGAAAGTGGGTTAACTACTTCCATTGTTTATTTTTGTAACTATCTATTACTACAGCTATCCAGAATGCATTCCTGTTGGTCCTGGATCAGTTATTCAAATAAAGGACTGTAGTCTGGTGGATTCTTCTGCTGTCCACATGGCTCCAGGAGTAGCTCCCCACCTGAGGACGTGATGATTTCTTCCTGGAATGATAAAACCAATTAAAATATAAAATATCTAAGCTACATCTACATTCTGAGAATAGCAATGAAGGCCACCACTGTACTGTAACTGGCAAGCAACTATGAATAAGCATTTGATAAAATAATTACGGACCAGAAAAAGGTTTTTATCAATCATTTTCTTCATGCTTTATCTCTTATTTATGCTGGTAGCAACTTGTGCTACTATCAAAAAGTGAAATCAGTGCACATAGGAGACTCTGATTTGGACTACTTATAAGTTGCTGCACTACTTAGGGAGTCAGCTACAGAAACTTACACAGGCTGTTCTCCTGGGTTAATTGAACAGAGAGATGCCAGTCTTACCATGCTGCTACCCACAGGCACACTGAGCAAGAGCTCAGTTGAGTATTGAGTGCCCACACACATGAGTAACAGTTTTCTGACTGATGACAGCAAGGTGAAAGGCATTGCCCTTGCTAAGTAAAGGCAGTCTCTACTCACAGCACCTATTCTCATTAAATATTCACATGCCAAGAGTGTCATTCCAGTGACTGATTACCAAGACAACTACTGAAGAAGTGGAGAACTTGGTCTTTGAAATTATTCCTACAATAATGATAGTTCATTTCTGTTTTTGTAGAAGTTTAAGACTGATAGATGCACCAAAATGAGCTGGAATCCAGAACTATGTTGACTAAAATAGCAATCCTTCATCTGAAAGTTTAGAGCCAAGATATGGATCTATATATGGACCTAATATTTTCAAAACCTATCCAGTTTCTATTGAAATTCAATGCAAATTTGGTGTTTGATTTCCTCAGAACACATGCAGGCTCCCAGTTGTTGCCTCGCAATCACTACACCAGACTAAGAATCAGTTCAGGAAGTTCCTACCCAAATTAAATTATTTTCAGAATCTAAGAATCACAGAATCATTAAGGCTGAAATAGACCTCTAAGATCATTGAGTTCAAACTTTTGGCCAATCACCACCTTGTCTACTACACAAGAGGGTTATAAGGAAGTAAATACAAATATTTAACAATGATCTTGGATCTCTTGTTGCTGCTTTCCACACAGTGTTTAAATGCAAATAATGAAAAAGGAAGATGCACACTCATATGAAATTCTGTAAGGTTTGTTCTTTCACCTAATGGTTACTACCACCTTGTGTCTGCCACCTGAGTTTCCTGAGTGACCTCTCAGTTTTTTAATCAAAATAAAACAAAATTAAGTTAATAGGTATAAGCAAGCAAAAAATTTGTTATGCCAGCCCTCCAAAAAAGTCCATGCAACCTTTGGGATGGGGAAGTATACTCTTGCCAAAAATAGTCATGAGGAAAGCAGCACCTTCTCAAAAAAATATAGCTGCAAGGGAAAATGTGCCCATGGCACAGCCAGTCACATATGGATTGCTTGGGGTTACCAGGGGACTATGGGACAATTGACAGTGTACTTCACCAGAGAGGGCAGGCAGAAAAGCCTTTAAGAAAACCACATGACAGGCAGGATAAAATGCCTCCTGAAGTGATTGCCAAAGGAATCAGTTTTAATGTAACAGGGAAAATAGAATTGTGTGCTGGCATTAAAGCTGAACCAGTTTCCCTCATAGGCTTACTACAGGGTCAGCTATTAACTCTTATCATGGGACACCTAAGCAAGCTTTTTTCCTTTTTTTTAAGTGGCAGAAACTAAAAGCCATTCTGCTTCTGACAAGTTCTTTACTGCTGTCTGTGTTCCTAATACAGTGATTGCCTAACATGAGCTGTGATGAAAATATAGGAACATAGCTGGAGCAGAGATGGCTGGAATTGGTTGTCACCATCACCAGGAGCAGAGGGGAGCCCAGGGTTCTACATTCAACACCTGATAATCTGTATTTGAGGTGTTGCATGTCAGCTTTTCTTTCCCTGACAAGGCCCTGGTTAGACTCTTTCCAGGTGCACTGGGGCTGGCTTGGATGGAGCTTCACAACTGCCTGTGCTCCATTGTGACCTTGTGCTTTGAATTTGTGGCTAGAACAGTGTTGATAACACACTACAGTTTTGGCTATTGCTGATCAGTGCTTGCACAGCACAAAGGCTTTCTCTTTTTCCCACTGCTGGCAGAGGAGGCTGGGAATAGGGAGAACTAGGAGGGGACATAGCCCAGTTGGTTAACCCAAACTGACCAACAGGACATTCTGTACAAGAAGGGTGTCAGAGATTTGAGCTTCCAAAGTGGCCATTGAGAAAGGATTTATTTAAATCAGGGGAGGATAAATATTTTAGTCAAATGTAACACCTACCATCTCCCCATGTAGAAATAAAATTTCTGGATATTTAATGTCATAGTGATCTCTGAGGGGTCACTAAGGCAACACTAAAGAGATGCTGCAAAACAATTGAGATAAAAGCAAGATTTAAAAGATAGGGAGTTAAGAAGAAAAATTACCTGAGAGCGAATACTTAAAAAACTAAAAGCTGTGAAGAAAAGGAGAAGCAAAAAATTTGTAGAATTACTCTGAGACAAGAGTGAGAAAAGGATAAAATAGGAAGGGGAACTAGAAAAGAGGGGGTGAAGAGGAATTAAAAGGGTTGCTAAGAAAAAAGAATTAAAACTGATGAAGATAGGGAGTGATATGTAAGACAAAAACAATTTATGCTTTCAGAAACAGTGCTACTGTTTAGTTACAGTCTGGCAACAAGAAACAGAATCTAGAGGTAAAGTAATTCAAACCCATCTAAAGTCAAATAGTAAATTCCTCTTGCAAGATTGTTTTGGATAATAAGGAGTGACCCTTAATGCATCCCTAAAAGAGAACCCCTCCATGTTCCCTTCTTTAGTGCAGGGTCACACTCTCTTGCTTTTGTACATTACAGACCTCACTTCAAAGGTAGAAAAATGCTGAAATTTCATTGAAAAACCTTTCTATGGTATTTCCAATCCAATTTTCCACAGCAAAAGGGCTCAGAAAGTGTTACATCTGTCAGCCCTTATTAGGCCATTTGTAGCCAAGGAGAGTACACAGTGTATAAGGGGACACAAGTACGTACTGGAGCATTTGAAAGAAGAGGAAAAGCCTTCTGATTCACTGCAACAGAAGTATGAATGTTACAGCTGGGCTTAGTGTAAAATATTCTTTCCCACTATGGTCATTCCTATTTTCCAGTGTGGTTTCAAACTACATGGCTCCTCATTAAATTATTAATCCATTCCACTCAGCTATTGATCTCCACCTAGCAAATGTTACCTTGTGAAAATCAATCAGATCTGTGAGTGTTGGGTGTCGGTTTGGATCTACCCCCAGGAAGCTGTAGAAATCCCCCGAAGCATCAACCAGGAAGTGCTTGAAGCCGTTTTGCTGGCGATAGGACAATGCGTAGCCCCAGATTTTCTCACTGACTCGCACCAGGAATGCACCTTCAGATTTATTCATCAGCAACTCCTCTGCCTCCTGACGGCTGATAATGCCTGGAAAGAAAAATACCCATGGTTGTGCAGGTAACAGCTCTGCCAGAGGCAATCGAATGCAGCAAATACTGAACAGAAGTGAAATCACAATGGTGTAACTTCTGAAGACTGTAATGCTTCTAGCTAGGAGGAGATGGGGACAATGTATATACTGTTTACCTCTGTAGGATAGCTTTAAGAGTTTTGATGGAGTCTGAGGGAATATGCTCTTTAATTTGATAAGACTTGCTTTTTTCCATCCTTACTGCTTTTTCAAAGGAGTGCATAAATGCAACTGGCCTATCAAACCAGCGAATTCTGGACAAGCCATGGTTTAAGCAGACTAGCACAGCTCGGCATTGCAGTTTGAATTTGCAATACATTGCTGATATTTGCAATTGGGCTGCAAGACTGTTGACTTACAACTGCTTTGTAGGTCCTACAGAAGAAACATAAATCAAGTCCCAGGAGAAAAAGCATTTCTCTGCTTTTGTACATCCACACACACACTCATCCATAGATGTATATAGGTAAATTGGAGAAAAATGTTTAATGGGAGTAGAGGTTCAAGAACTTTTCCATTTTATTCTTTCATCTTTCTTTTGACTTCCGATTCTAGGGCACAATCCTAGAGTTGCTGTACTTCTGCTTGCATAGAGGTTATAACAGATAAAACCAATTCTGATCCCAGCCTACAACAAAGGTGTGATCAGAATTGCACCTGGCACTGAACCAGGTCTTACCATCCACTCAGAGAGCCTGGTTCCAGTCTGTCTGGTCAGCCTAGAGGACAGTCTGCTCATGTCTCAGTTATCTGTGAAACACCAGATGCTCACTCTCATCAGGAGCAGATGTTGAATTAGGCCATTCTGAATGTGAACATGGCACATACGTCAGTAAATAATGTATGTACACGTTCCAAAGTTACTCTCTGTGGGGATAACTTTCTCCAAACAATACATGTAATGTTTAATGGAACTGCTTGTCATCATTGAATCCAACACATGTCCTAGTGAGAGTTCCATGGAGTCCAAGTACTGAAAAACCACATTGTTTTAGTAATAATAAACAGTTCAGGGATTATCAGTTTGCATTTGTGAATCCCATGGAGGAGGGCACAGCATCCAGAGCCCACAGAAGATGAAGATGCTCATGAGTAGCCAATACAAGCTAAGATGAAAACTGAAGCTGAGGAACTAAAATTTAGAATAGTTCTGACCTTTTTGAGATCCCATAATAAGGTGAGATAGTAAAGGCTTGAAACAAACACTCAAATCTGTGACACTAGCAGCCATCTCTGGTCTGGAAGAAGATGAAAAAAACAGCTCTGTCAGCTATTCAGAAAGACCAAAAGCATAAAAGCAGGGAAGATGAAGTAATGGCTTCTGGCAGTAGAAGAGCTAGAGCAGCTATGGTTTATTCTCTCAAGGAAAAGCATCACTCAAAGCAAGTTTCCTCAGGTCGACTCTTGCAATTCTCTCCCACAAGTGCAAGTCTCTACAGGGACTCTTAAACTGACTGAACATAGTTCTGGTTGTTCATTGGGAAGGACACAATTAATCTACAGCAGGGTGATGTCTAGACTGAATACGTCATCCTTGAGACTGCCAATGTCACACAGAATTTAAAGAACGCTGTTATCAATGTATGGACTATGCTGCAACTGAAATAGTCAAAAAATAACAAAGGGTCTAAAGTACCACATAATATTAATGTCTATATAAAAAGATGATTCAGCCTTTAATGATAAATATATATCAATAAAAGGCATACATTGTCATTTCTCTGGCATTTCCAGCAGGAGTAGCATGCGCAAGTAAAGACGTGCAAATATTTGCAGCAATAGGATCTTACAGTGTACAGCTGTTAAAGAGGTTTCACCCTCTCCTTCCTTTTAGTCACAATACTTTTTTGAATAATGCTACGAAACAAAGAAGAGATCAATAGTATTGTGTGAGAAAAGCTATAGCTGAGAGGTAACAATAGCTCTGCCTCTGCTATTTCAGAACAGGAGCAATAAAGACTAAAAAGCAAAGCAAGGGAGTAAATCAAAGACATCTGGTAATAGAAACAAAGCTGTTGAAGCTATTCACCATCTGCTGTTAAGGCAGAACAAACTCACATGGGACTAGATCTTCAAAAGAGTTCTGTTTCCATTTAGACATTGAAATAAATGGCCAGGCTTAGAGGAAAAAATAAAATAACAAAACAACAAAAATTCAATAAAAACCCAAACAAGAAACCAGCACAATGACTGGTAGCTTTTGGGTTTTGGGGGGGGAATTGTGTTTTTTTGTTGTTTTGTTTGTTTGTTTTCCAAACTGGCCAGAAGTGTCATGGCAAGATCCCAAGAGCCAAGGGGTGCTGAATTCCAATGTAATGCTTCTGCTATTTACAGCTTGTGAGAATGCAGATATTTCATGGTGTGCTGCAGGTTGATAATCTAGTCCTAGTAACTAGTAATATTTATGGATACTAATAATAAGAAAAATATATGCAATAGGTCACAAAAAGCAAAACCTAAAATATGTATAAATAAAACCTTCCTGTCTCTGCAGAACTGGAGAGACAAAGCTGAGTTGTATTTAGAAATCAACAGGTAAACACATTTGAAATATACTCACAGATGAGTTATGTCAGTACTCAGGGGCCAGTGTGGTACCAGCCTTCTCTGAGCTACACAGGCATAGCTTAGGGAGCCTCTGGACAATTCTGCACAATTTCAGGAGTCGAGCATGCAGTAGCATACCTCAGATGGAGATAAATCTGTGCTGGGGACAGGTGAGCAGGAGCCCATTAGCCATTCTTCACCTTTCCTCTCCTTCGTAACCATCCTGGCACATTTTAAGCATATGCAGAATTGGGAAACAACAGCTCAGTGAGACTCAGCCATCTCCCCAGTGTGCCTTGCTCAGTACAGGAACTATGCCCTGGGCTACACACAGACATGTATAGGATACCAAGGCCCAAAGGAATAATGTATTTCTGATGGCAGGAGATCCCTTTAGGCAAGGATGAGGCACACTGATAATCTATCACGTCCTAAATGAGCTCTCCTTGAAGACTTACTTGGTGCAGGGGACTATCTTGAGTCTCTATACACAGAAGAAAATCAAGGAAAAGTATCACAGGTAAAAATATATAGGTCTCATTTTGTTTGGGTGGGGTTTTTGAAGGTTTTTTTTGTAAGGTTTTTTTCTGATTGGTTGCTTTGGATTTTTTTTGGTTTTTTTTAATGTGTATTCATCTCTCTGTTTTGTCAGGGTACAACAGTTCTTAGAATAAAGCAAACTCAGTCTTCGGAAGATTTCTTAATTCCCTAAGAATCAGATTCTCTAAAGCAATTAAAAACCTACTGAAATTCTGAAAGGAATGGGTGCCTTACTCCCCTGGGAATCTTAAAAAATCCCATCTAAATGAATAATGCAGTAATAACAGGTATTTTTCTTCAGGTTTACAGAAAATCAGGTGTGTTACATCCATTGTTGCCAGTGCGGCTCACAGTTAATTCCCTATGCACTCTGCAGAAAATATACCTCTTAATTGTCTCCTTCAGAGTTCATTCTACATCCAACTATCAAATACTCTAAAAACCCTTTATACCCACTGTCAAAACATTTACACCTTATTCACCAGCAAGCAGCACAGCACATAAAAGATAGGTGTTGGCATTACTTGTCTGAATATACCACTGTATAATAGAGCCGTAAATTTTTTCTGTTAATATCTCCTCAAAGCCTAGTGTTGGTTTCTTTTCTTCCTTCTTTTCAGAACAGCCTATAGAATGCATTAGCTGGGAAGAAAACAATTTAACCTCTCTCTTCTCTTTGTGCATTATTGTCATATATCAGAAGAAAAAATATAGCATAAAATACCTTTAACCTTTTATCTCATATATATATAATTTTTTTCTTTAGATAGAGGCTCTTCTGATCTGAAATCCCTGCATTAAATCTCTCCTACTACCCTTTAATTTTTGAGTGTTTTCTCTTCTTGTCTAAATAGCTTCTGATAAGAAACTTATGCTAAAAGATGTACAAGTTAAGCATTCCATTATCAGTGGCTTATAAAACTGAATTTCTGTGTGTAGTTTACTATATATGATCAGTAAATTGTCAGAAGTTATGTGTCAAGAATATTTCATTTTGTACTGTTTTCACTGTTGGAACACAGCTGTGTTTCAAAGTCAGAAGCCTCAATGTTCTGGTGAATTCAATGGAAGATTAACAACAAACAGGAACATTGGGATTCTGGTTTTGCTTTTGTTTGGTTGGGTTTTTAAATGAGTAAATACTACCACACCTATATAAACATTCTAGATTCTGTTACAGATACCTGACATTTCCTGCAAGTAGCATGGAAAATAAATGTACACATGAAGGTGTCTTCAAACTTGAGAAAATATCAGTACACTAATCCAAGTAAGGAATTTTGTTACAAATATTATTCCTGTAGGATTTATTCACCTCCTTACAATACAGATGAGATTTAATTTTTATTTCTATTATGTACAAAAAAGATAGCAAGCTATACAGACCATCAGTAAACTTTTGTGATAAGTGCATGATGTGACATGCAGTAGATATTAAGATCTTCCTGTATCTACTGAAATATGAAAATTTGCTTAATCAGTAAAGCACACAGAAATATCTCACTAAAGCCTGACAGGGCTAGAAATTGTAAGTAGGGTAATAAACACAGAGCAAAGAAACAGATTTATGCTCTGATCCTGGCTCAGCAAACTGAAACATCTCTGTCCTGGTACAATAGTCACTGATAATGTGTTTTGTGTGCAAAGGGAAAAGTGTAGCAGTTTTTTTAGAAGGTTAGTGGGCAGTATTCATCATCCTTTCTCCAGGCAGACAAAATGTTTGCATTCATTCAGTCTTGGTCTTGCAAGCAAGAAATGGGAAATTCTAGTTTGTGGGCAACTTTTGCAAGCATTTCATTTGTTTACATTACTCACCTTGTTACTGCTCATCTAAATTCTCAAACTTTACTGAATTTGAAAATGAGAGAGA